TTCTATTTGCAGTGATATCAATTCATTGAAGAGAAAAAAAAGGGGGTCTTTATTGATAACGAACTTAAACAAGGAACACAATATATATATTTTACATGTGAACACTGATGCATGCAGAATGTACTGCATTTAATACAATTGTGAGTTGTACTAGACTGGCAACACTGGTTTGGCAACCTTGTTTATGAGCGGCGCGCCAATTAATGTATCCTTTTGCAGTTTGAAGAATCTGTTGGCGTGTTCTCTTCTCTTTTTAGCTATATGCATTCACTAAATGGTCTCACTCATATTAGGCTCACTCATCATAATGCGCCACAGACACAGTATACTTATATGTACTTGTGCCACATAAACGCGATCAGCAAGAGGACAAAGATGTACCAAATAAAAATATCAAAATTAAATTTATATTTTTATGTTATTTATGTAATTTTAAAATAATGTGTTTTTATGAAATTTAACAGGGTGTTCACTGCACAAATGAACCAATGGAGAAACCGCCCGTGCCGCTATTATTGGTCCGATTTGCATAAGACAAAAGGTACTATGAAGCAGACATGACGTAGAAAAACGTTAAAGGGAAGATAATGAGCAATGGCATAGATAGAAAGAAAAAAATTTCACCTTTCCACACGCATTTCTTTTGTATTTTTCACACTGGTACGGAAAAGTGATTTCTTCCATTTATTTTTCCGCACTAGTACCAAACAAGGGGGGATTCATAATTCAGAGAAGATCCAAGAGGAGGTAGCATTTTTCGTACTACAAATTATCTGTTTTAGAGTTTTCTCAAAAGTACATAATAAAGCTAAAAGATTCTCCACAAAGAAATCTTTTTTAATTTAAGTTTTAAAATAGTAAAAAATCGTTTTTGTTTCAATGATACATATGTCGGCTATTAAAAAATGATCTACATTAAAAAATATAGTTTATATACACATTTATAAACAGACCAATAGACGAGCTTATTTAACATAATATCATTTGTGCTACATAAACATAAAACTTATTGATAGTAATTCCAACAACTAGAACTGTTCATTAAAAACATACGCAAACTCGAATACAACTTGAAAGTGTAATTTACATGTCTCCTAAACCCGTAGAGCTGCGGTTTCCAATTGTTCATAAGGGTAAATAAACAACTGCTACCCTACGTTTTTCTGTAAATAATTTTAAAGGTAAAGAAAAATTATATAAATAGTTTAAAATCGTTCCAGACACGAGACACTCGCGAAATCGTCTGAGACGAACTCAAAGCGGAAAAGAGAGCAGAACAGAGCCAGAACCAGAGCCGTAGAGCGGCCGAATAGAGAGAGGTCTGTTGCTATAGTGAATCCACGAACAGTGTCACCGGAGTCGAGAGCGGGACGTGCTTGGACTTTTAATTAGATGCGCCTTTGAATCGATACCTACCCTGCACGGCCGAGGGCTCACCCAAACTCAAGATACACATACATACATTCACTATCGACCCGACAACTCCTTTGCCATCTAGACGTACACACAAATACAAACAAAAACGAAGGAAAACGGTCCTGGCTATCGATTTTAAAATACTTTACTTATTATTACGTTATGTTTCACTATTATATAATTTTTTCATAATAGTAATTTATGATACAATGATAAAAAGTTATTTGTTTATGGGGGGCGAATTAAGTGAGAGCACTTCAAAAATTACTTTTTAAAAACCGAAAATTTTTAAAATAAACCTTTGTTGAGCGAAAGCTAACAATGATCGAATCTTTTCTAGTTCTGACTTATATTTATAATTTTGGTAGAGTGCAACGTTAACATTAATCTTGTATTAGTCGGCGGGATTGTTTCCATAACTGGCGACTAACCTCGAGTTCATACACAATTACACACTCATTTACTGAATAAGATATTAGGATCTGAATTTAATATCGTAAAGTCAGTGAAAAAAGAAAAAATGTGATAGGTGGCGATCACGTGTTTAGTACTGGATAGACATAAACATTTAAAATACATGCATAATTGAGTAGCATAGTTATTCAGGATCCGGGCTGCCGAGAGCCATATGGGGCCCCGAGAGATTTTTATAAAAAATCAACTCTTTTCTATGTTACATTTCTAAAAAAAGGTTCTTAAATAAATAATCAGATCCTTTCTTAGTGAATTCCACAAAAAAAGGTCCTTACCTTGTATTTTTCGTAAACCAGGTCCTCTTATTTGTGACTATCGGGCCCTGGGCCCCATTTTTGCCCGGGCCCCCGGGATTTGTCCTGCCTGCCCCTCCTCTCGGCAGGCCTGCTCAGTATGTAACCGTAATAGGGAACTTAATAACTAGAAGGCTACTACAGAACTCCATCTAAGGGGAATGATCATATTTGAAATGCCGGGACAAAGCCATACCCATTCAATTTCACATACTGCGAAAAGCATAGTATATTTCGATCTGGATTGATCATCTTACGAAACACTTTTATAAAAAAGCAGACCAATCAACGAAAACACAATATTGGACGAAGTACCTAGAATATTACTGTTTCGTGAATCATATTGAATCAATTCCTTACAAAATTACCTTTTCCCTGGGGAGGGATGTAGGATAGTTGAGGATATATATGATCGAAAGATGTCCCCTTTGAAATAAAAATCGACCTCTTTTTGTGTCTTCAAGATATGCGATCTGTTTCGTTTTCGGTGCCTCACCCTGTATATGTAATATAAACGCCTTTGCTTAAAGGATAGACGTTCAGTATATTTTATTCTTCGCTGTTGCTTTTTGTGAGATGAAATATACCTATGTTGGATTTGTTGGATGAATGTCTTCTGCCAAATTGTTTAAATTCAACGGATACCAAACATTTATATTTATCTCAGGGACTTGAATTTTTTTATTACTTAAATTAATAATGTCATTTAATAGTTCGTTGCACATACTTTGATTACTATACGGTGCAAGAGAGAGGGCCGACAAGCCCAACATAGGGCGCGGCCATTTGGATTCCTATGCCACAGTTTATAGCTAAAGAATCAGATCGCTCACTCTGCGTCGGCATTTTTGATCTCAATGTACCAGTTTATACACTGCGCAACTCGGATAATACAATATATGCCAACCGCCTATAATAAAACAGCAGTCATCTGCGTATCCTGAATTTGTATCCCTGGAATGGATGTTATTTTGGAACTTTCAACTGGTCCGAGTTAGCTAACTGATTCTTTAGCGATAAACTGTGAATCCAAAAATAATATTCACTGACAGCAATAAGCAAAATATCAGGTGCGTTTTAATCATCCGCTTCTGCTTCCGGAATTGTCGGTTTAGTCGTTTTAACCTGTCAGATTAAAACAAGAAAACCGACAATTCCGAAGTAGAAGCGGATGAATAAAACGCACCTATTAAAAATATTGCGCCAAGATGTAGGCAACACGTAATAAGGGATCAAAATGGCGGAGTTTTCTATCTCCTTTTAAAAGGCACTCAGAAAGCTGCGCAGTGCGACCATTTTCCGTATAGTAAAAGAAAAAGTATGTGGTTCGTTGTGATTTGGCTAATATATCAATCGTTTTTTAAATAATTATTTTGCAGTAAAAAACATATTCTCAGAAGTTATTTTGGTTTTTGCTTTAACTTATCCTATTATTGAATTGACTGATTGTTTATGTTTAAAGTTGTACCCCTCTTTGTTAAAAGTGTCTTTGTATTGTTCTATACCTTTTAAATAATAAGAAATAAGAGTGTAATATCTTAAAATATTATATTTCGACAACAAAAATGTAAAATAACGATTCCCTTCTCAAATAAAAGAAACAGGCATTTTAAGATGTATTACAATAATTGGTTATCTGATACGTCCTTTATAGTAAAAGATATGTTTACATGATAGTTCTTCATTCCTATTAAAATTATTTTTTTTAACTGCAATTATTATGTAACTATTTTGTAACTATTTTGTAACTATTTTGTAACTATTTTGTAACTATTTTGTAACTATTTTGTAACTATTTTGTAACTATTTTGTAACTATTTTGTAACTATTTTGTAACTATTTTGTAACTATTTTGTAACTATTTTGTAACTATTTTGTAACTATTTTGTAACTATTTTGTAACTATTTTGTAACTATTTTGTAACTATTTTGTAACTATTTTGTAACTATTTTGTAACTATTTTGTAACTATTTTGTAACTATTTTGTAACTATTTTGTAACTATTTTGTAACTATTTTGTAACTATTTTGTAACTATTTTGTAACTATTTTGTAACTATTTTGTAACTATTTTGTATCTATTATGTAACTATTATGTAATTATTATGATCATGAAAAACTCTGTATTCCGTCGTCCTCCGGGCGTTAGCATCTACATAAGAACCTTGATTAATAAATAGCTTTTAAATTCGTTATTAAAGAAAAAACATTTCCAACCTGATATTTATTAAAATAAATATTTTTGAAAGCAATACCTCGACTATAATCAGTTTAAAAATGAAATCTTGTCTTTCTGACCCTAAACTTTTTATGGTCCTTTCCCCTTGAGAATTTCATATGGGCGCCCATATTTTGCGGTGCAGTTGTCAGCCAACTTTGTTATTTTATCAGTTTTGTGTGAATGTAGGCAATACAGATAGGGCGGCGCATTTTAAATGATTTTTATGTGTAGCTTTTCTCTAGTGGGTACTTCTATAAAAAATGAACGGAAAATCGGAATTAGGCAAGATTATGGATAATTTTATGCAGGAAATATATCTCATAAAAGTTGATGAAAAATAGGATTTGAAGGAAAATCGGTATTTTCATTTCGTTTTAGAACCTATTAAAATCAAAATTGATTAAATAGCTGTATGTATAGTATGATCTAAACAAGGAAAATTTGCTATGTAATAATTACAAAGAATCCAATAACTAAGTTTTAAAAATTAGTTTATTCTCCTAATTAAAACAGAGGAAAGACTTTGTCAGTCTAGACAGTGGTCTAGAACAGAATTTAGTAGGTTCTAGACACTGCTCTGCACAGGACACAACGCAATGGAAGAGATACTTAAAAAAATCCAAGAACACATTCAAACGGAAGATTTAAAACACATAAAACTGGAAAATTCTAAAACAAAAAAAGAAAATCTTGAACTAAAACAGGAACAACTGAGACAACAAATAAGAATAGAGGAATTGGAAAGAGAAATCAGAAAAACAAATCTTATAATCTACGGAATAAAAGAAAAAAGAGACAACCTAAATGAAAACCTAAGTAAAATAGTCAAAGATATAGCCAACAAAATTCAAGTAGAAATAAACGAAAAAGATGATATAATCGATATCGAAAGAATGCGTAGGACCATAGACAATAAAGATAGACCAATAATGGTAAAATTGAAAAGTGGGACACTAAGAAATGAAATGTTAAGAGAAACTAAGAAACTTAAAGAAACTGAAATATTTTTAAGTGAAGATTTTTCAAAAAATTTTCAAGAACCAAGAAACGTACTCAAAGAAGAAATTAAACGGATAAAAAGGATACAAAGCAAATATGAACTATAACAGATCATATGTAAATGGAGAACTATTTACTGTAGAAACAACTAAATTAAATAAACATTCAAAAACTGCAACTGTAGCTATAGATTTCATACCAGATGACAAATCTAGAGGAAGAAAATTTAATGAGCATGAAGAATCAAGAAAAATAAGTGGAACAGATGGAATATTAGAACCAAAAACAAAAAACTAGCCTACACAGTTAAGATAAAAAGAACAGAAGGAACGAGATGAATATAATGAAAATAATAGAAACCAAAAAATATAAACAAAAGAAGATAACATGCCAAGTAATAAAAAGTCAGCTACGAAAAACAAAAACAATACAGCTAAACGTGAAGAAAAAAGAAGAGGTAACGGAAGAAAATTCCCCGAAATTTTTCAACCATTTCAACATATTATTCTGGAATTACCAGGGAATAAATACTAAAGGTAGCTTAGAAATCGATGAGCTTCAATACTTCCATAGTTTTCCCATTATAGGCCTTGTTGAAACTTGGAATACGTCACCTGAACCCAATCTGCCGCAACAATAAAAAAAAAAATTGAAACAGTCTTCATCCTCCAAATTCTTTTTCAAATCAATAATAATCATAGTTTTATCTTCATCATATATTTTATAAATTTTATTAAGTTGGCCTGAATTCATTTTTCTGCATGCTTCGCACAGTTGACCCAAACTGTATATTTTATAAATAGGCTTCATAATTAACATATTAAATTAAAAAAACAGCAACATTTTGATAAACAGAAAGGTTTTCGGATTGAAGAAATTAAAAATTAAAGTCCATCGTGTTGGCCCTCATGCAACAAAGTGAAAATTATTAAAAAATGGAAATATACAATTTTTTTTCGTAATTTTAAATCAGCCATATATTTTTTTAAAAGTTGCTACATTACATAATAGATATACCTACCATATTTGATGAGTAACTGAAACATTTATAAGACATTTTTGTTAATGGCATACAAGATTTTCAAAACCTTCGGTTGCCAACACTTCTACTTTTACACCTATTGTTTCCTTTCTGTAAACCTTGAACCTACATTAGTACCTATCAAGAAGCTACTGCGTTATGTAAATGGGAAGGTGACTAAGCATGGCAGTTAATTAAGATACATATACAGGGTAGTCAAAATCTGTAAATAAAATTATTATTAGCAACTCATTTATTTCATCTACTTCTCCTAACGACATTAACTAGACCAGTGGTCGCCAACCTGCCGATCGCGAGTTACCAGTAGCTCGCGGAGGCAATTCTGGTAGCTCTCACAACGATTTTAATTTTAAAAATACAAACTGCAAAAATCAGAGAAGCTTCCGAAAATTTCACAAAATTGTCATAATATTAAACATAAACAGCGGCAACGTTGTGGTGAGCGATCTGCCGCTGACGCCATCAAGCTAGAATTGGCTAGAACCGACCAGCCGGACCAGCGCGTTAGTGTTCGAGAACGATCAGGATTGCTTTGAACGGGATAAATACACACGGCGCGGCGACATTGTGCATAGTTTAAAACTGAACGCGTAACCAACGTTCAGCGGTTGGGTTAGAGAACAACAAAAAATAATATGGCAAGCAGTTTTAAGAAGGTAAAGACATACCACTTTCATTCGGAATGGGAAGAACAATACTTTTTTCCAGAAGTTAAAGATAAAAATGTGTGTTTGTTATGTAATACTTCGATCTCCGTTGCTAAAAAAGGAAATATTGAGAGACATCATAAAACTGTACATTCTAATTTTGAAAAATCATTTCCACTACATTCTGCCGCCAGAAAGGAGAAACTGAAACAGTTAAAAAAGCAGTTACTTGGACAACAATCAATATTTTTAAGAACAGTTGACAAAAATAAGGCTGCAATTGAAGCATCGTACCGTGTGTCCCAGATAATTGCACAAAAAAAGAAACCTTATGAAGACGGGGAAATGATAAAACAGGCGTTTTTAGAAGCTGCTGATTCGTTATTTGCCAACTTTAGAAATAAAGACGAGATAGTTTCAGCTATAAAATCTATGCAACTTTCTACTAATACAGTGATGAGACGTGTAGAAGTAATGAGCAATGATATTTTTTTACAGTTAAGAACTGACTTAGATAACTGTGTTTATTTTTCACTTCAACTGGATGAATCGACAGATGTCGTTGATACTGCCCAGATGGCCGTGTTCGTCAGGATGGTTTTTAGTGATTTTATGATTAAAGAAGATCTTTTGAAGTTTATTCCACTGAAAGGACACACTACTGGACAGTAGTTGTTTTCTCATTTAAAAAATATTATTTCTTCCGAGAAAATTCCAATATCGAAAATGGTAGGCTTGACAACCGATGGCGTTCCAGCTATGGTGAGTTGTGATAAGGGTCTGATGGCGTTATGTCGTAAAGATGAAACTTTTCCGCAATTTCTCTGTTACTACTGCATTATCCATCAGCAAGCATTATGTGGAAATTTCCTGAAACTAAACAACGTTATGAAACTGGTGGTAAAAATTGTAAACAAGATTAGAGCTCAAGCGTTACAAAGAAGATTATTCAAAACCTTGGCCGATGAAGTTGACTGTCAATACGGGGACCTACTCCTTCACTCTGAAGTCCGATGGTTAAGTAGAGGACGGGTGCTGAAACGTTTTAATGATGTCCTGTCTGGCATAGTTCAATTTTTCAAACAACGCGATGAACCGACTCCGGAACTAGAAAATTCAATCTGGCTTGGAGATTTTGGTTTTCTCGTGGACATTACAGAGAAATTAAACGAACTTAATTTGCAACTTCAGGTGAGAGACAAAGAACTAGCGGAAATGATTTCTGATATAAAAGCATTTATCAAAAAGCTGGAGTTTTGGGAACAAAACCTAATTAACAGCGATGCCAAGCATTTTCCTATTCTTTCAGAAAAAATATCTCAAAATCCATTAGAACCCTATGACAACAAATATCACGAAATGGCTTTAGTAGCGCAGTTTGTTGTTTCACCCTTTATGGAAATTGATATCCAACAGTTTGCAACTTGTGTTATGCAGAACTTTGGCGAAGACATCGCTGCAACAGAAATGGAAGTAATTGAGTTTGAAGTACCAAATGTATCTGGCCTATTGTAAGTAAAGACAAATATTCAGTTCTATGCCGTGTTGCTTTGAAAGTGAAAGCATTATTCAGTTCAACCTATTTGTGTGAATCTCCTTTTTCCAATATGAAGTTTATTAAGAACAAATATCGCAATCGACTTACAGATGAACATTTGGATAATCGTATTCGAATGGCTGTATCAAATTATACTGCAAACATTAAAAAAAATTATCGATGAGTCTGAGTGTCAGCCTTCTCATTGAACGTGCTTTTTTATTTTTCAATGTTTATGTTCATGATAGTGCGTTACTTTTTTGTTGTTATTATTAACTATTTTTAAATCTTACGTGACATGCCGTTGTGGCTGGATAAAAGTTTGTGTTTATTTTTCAAACACCTTCGTTTGGTAGGTAGGAATGTAGCTATGAACAAGTACGTACTAGTAATATTAGTTATTTTGTTATTAGTTTATTATTAGTACCTATGTATTATGTATTACCAGTTAAATAGTAAAATAAATACATATAATGATAAATTAACTGTGGATTATTTCATTTAAGTTGCGTTACGTGGCTTCCGTGTGGGTGGCTCGCTGTTTATTCCAAAATTAACAATTAACACATTGAGAGGTTGGCGACCACTGAACTAGACTATTTCACTATTTCTCTAGAGAAATAGTCGATATTTGGTCTAGTGAAATAGTCGTCCCAAATATAACATGACTTTGATTAATATTCTGCTATTTTTGTTATTGCTAAATTTCTCGAACATTTTACAATTTGATTCTACATAATTTTGGTGATCTTTTTCTAAAATGTTTGATTTTTTAGCATTGTACCCCTTGCTCTTGTTTTTTACAAAACTAACTAATTTATAATATTTTGATATGTCAATATTATTTTTTATTTTTAATGTTGTTTTTAACATATATCGAGCATGTTGTGGATGGATTATAGTGTTTTAATTCACTTGAAAAATATGCCACCAGAACATTCTCAGAATACTTGGTAATTTTATTTCTTTTACACTATTCCATAAAGTAATTATATTTCGGCTCATAAATGTTGGCTGATCGAAGCATTCTGTGCTGCATCCAATATATTCGGTGGATTATTTTCGAAATAATCATCATCCCTGTATATTTAAAGTAGAGTAATCAGCACGAAGGGTGATTCTGAAGTAAAATCGAATAGTTCGCGTTCAATTTAGTTTTAAGAAATTTCTGTTCGCCCTGGGACCAGCCCGTCTAGTAGGGCTTTGTGATGGAAATCATGCCTCGCGGGCATAAACCCACTTAACCAGAATGTGTGATGGTAGATGGTGGGATTCGTAATTCGTGAACTGCAGTTGCTTGTTTCATCTGTCAAAAAATCTATTTAACGGCCATGGCGTATCATTCCTTATTTTTTGAAGTAGATATATTTACTTGAATAAAAACAATAAAAAAAAACTTTTGTTTTTTAAAAATTTTGAATTTAATAGGAAAAAATTACCGAAAATTTGGGATCTAGGTATACTTAGGTACATATTTTTTAACAGGATGTGGTATTGATTTCGACTGGCGCAAATAAAAGAAAATTTGGAGAAGAAGTCGGGATGTGGGAAGATCTGTAGAGAAAACAATAATATGGCATGCAGGATTACTATTACTAAAAACAGAATCAAATAATTACATTTTTCTTGTTCTGATCTAAATAATGTTCTGTTCACATTAGACCTTGGTTCACTTCTTAGCTATTTATCACCTCTCTTAGTTACTGTAGAATTATTCAGATGTAAAGCTTTTTTTATCTCATCTGAAATTAAAATTAGTATCAAACATTTAAAAAAAACTAACCTATCATTTTTCATATACAATTATTTAATAAAATATATATTTTAAAAGTTTTATGAAGTTATTAATGAATGTAAACATTTTTAGTTTGACTATGGCCA